CTTATATCAATAACATAAGCTGGACAAGTTTTTACAATAAAGTAAATTTTAATTTAGCTATAGAAATGTGTTAACGATATCATTTTTTTGTTATTAAATCAAATATTTTTTAAATGTTTCCTCGTAATAATACTTTTCTTATTTAATTTATTAAAACTTAATGCTATTAGTAAAGAAAAAATTAACCTTGATTAGGTAATTAAAACAGAGTAGATTACAATATATTTATAATAAATTTTCAAATACTAGAGCCCTAAAAAAATGTAATAATTTATCAATACATCAGCATTACAATAAATATTTAGTTTATATTCAGAACTGATCTTCATTATTAAAATTTTGTAAAAAAATTTTTGACTAATTAATATGTTATCTACTATTTTAGAATTAGATAATAGATCGGTATGGGACGTATTTTAGCTCCGTTTATATTTCTAATAATATAAATTTTTTAAATACATCCAGTATCTATAAATAATTTTGCATGTGGTAATAAATATATTTTTCAAGTATTTTCAATAATACAATATGTGGGTGTTAATGATTTAGTAAGCGCATGTATTTTATGAATGTTTAGTCCTGATTAATACAACATTATGTTCAAAGATATTCTGTCACTGTTTGCTCTTTTCTATCTATGATATTTTTTTTATTAAAAGTGTTATTTTTGCACAATTGTAATTACTTTGTGTCACAATTAAAATTAAATTATGAATAATGTAATTTAAACATTATATAATATAATTTATTGTATTAAAAACTATAAATGAATAATAACATCAAATAAAAAAAACACATCATAGTAAAATTAATACCTTCTCCGCTTCGCATCGAAGCTAAAATTACAAAGAATATATTCTTAAAAAAAAAAATGGAATAATTTATGTTAGAAATGTTATTATGAATAATATTATCACATTACCTAATAGTATATAATTCTTCAGAATATCTATCCAATTATCTAGTGTCACAACTAAATAAAATAACATATTTAACTCTTAATGATTATTTTTTCGAAGTGATTTAAAAGATAATTAAATAATTTACCATTGACAACTTATTTATACTATTTATTATATTGCCTTTTATTAATTCATTAAATTAACCAATAGACAGGGTTATTTTGAGAGAGGCATGAGAATATGATACCCTCTTAATTGAAAACATTTTTTTTTTTAGTCAACAATTTCTCAATAATTGTATTACTAAGAATTATTTTTGCTTTGTATTAACCCTTGTAACAGATGAAAACTGTTTTAATGATATATATCTATTAATTATTACATGTATTAAAATGTTCACTCCAACTGGTAAAATAATTCAGATAAACTTTTCAATAGATCGTACAATTTCTAAATTGACATCAGTAAATACGTTTTTAATATAAAAATTCAATATACCATCAGTACACGAGGTTTGTATTAATATCATTTATATCATTCATACATATCGTTTTGATACTTGATAATATTTTGCCATTAAGTCGATATTGAAGATTTAGATTGTTTAATTGTGTTATATTAGTCTCTCAATATATTTAATAAATTTTGCCAATCTTTATTGTTTCCAAATGCGACTAGCAAGTTTTTCATTGTTTCATCATTTTCTATTATATTTCTAAACAGTAATGTATCTAAATAAAAATATTTATCTAAGTTTTGAAAATCACCTAACAATGTGTTTTGATTGATTAAATATTTTATAGATAATTTAACTTCTACAGCACTTTTGATAAGTAAATCTATATTAGCAGGGTCTTTGTTAATTGATACAAGAGTATTGTAAAATTTTTATATAGTAGATTGATTATTAAAAAGATTATTTTGTGGTTCCTTACATTCGTGGTTTGAAAATTCTTCTAAACTTTTTCAAGTATTTTTATAATCTCTACTGATTGTACAAAAATTTCTATTAGAATCATCTAACATCATCAATTTAATATTAATAGTAAAAAAATTAAGTTACCAAAATTCATTCCCGAGTGCATAATTTTAAAATTTAAAAATATATTGAGCATAAGTATGAGTTCATTAAAAAAAAATCTGTCTTCTTTAATATTTTTTAAATTAGGTGTGCTTAATTCATTGATAAAATATTCAATTATATTGATACAATGAATACAAGTAAAAAAATATGTTCATTCAAATTTGCAATAGCTTGAGTAATTTTGGTATATTTATTTTCGGCCGTATTGTAGTTTTTTGATTTTACTGGTTTCAAATTTTGCTTTTGCTGTTCATGTCCTGTTTTTAAATCTACTAATCTGGGGTTACTTTTAAAAAATTAATTTTCAATGCAAAAACATGAATTATTATTTTTTAATAAGAGCAAAATTATGAAAGATAAATCAAAATAAAAGACATTTTTTGATTAATAAAATATTTAAAGTTATATATAAAATAATTTTAGTTATATAGTAGTGAAATTATTATTTCTATTAATATATGTTAACAAATTCAATATATTTTATTTGTAAGCTATCATTGAACATATATGTGTAGATATGTTTTTTCATATTTAAGATGACTTAATGTTGATACTGTATACATTTATTAATAACATAAACGATTTAAATGTTTAAATTTTCAAAAAAAAAAAAATTATATAATTTATAATTATACTTCTTTAATATAATGATCCTTATAATGCTATGTAATCGATTTATTTTAAAATAATTATTATATTAAGAAATTATTATTGGTATTTTTTAGTTTACATATTTCTTGATTTATAGTTATTAATTACTTTCTTAATTCATCACATATGCCTTATAAGGATGTCAAATTTAATTTTTTTGAATGATAAATTACATATTTTACTTGATTATGAAATGAAAAATTGTGTAATTAATAAAATAACTATTCGATAACAACTTTTAGACCAGTGCTTTAAAAATTATTAGCATATTTTAAACCCTACTTTTTTACATATTATTAATTATCTAACTTATAAAAAAAATAAACAGTAATAATAATTTAAATGTTAGCTATTAATATTTTCAGAATTTTTTCAGCTTTCAATAACAATCCAATAAATATATTAAAAAGAATAGGGTTCCCCTTTCCAAAAAAAAGTGTTCTAATTATCAATGCCTTGTAATTAATTCCAATTTCAATTTCATAACTGAAATCATAATTAACTAATAAATGTCAAAATAATCTAATTAAGAAAGTTAACTTTATATTCTTTTTGATAAATTCATACTTACATTTTTGATACACGTTTGATATAAACTATACGGTGTACAGTATGTATGAAAACTGTTTTTTTTTAATAATTTTAAAAAATGAGAATAATAGAAACCGTTTCCGTACACACTGAACACCTTATACATACAACAACTTTAAAACTTTTTATAATTTTCTGTAATAATTATAATACCTAATTATTGAATATAAATTTCATACTTATTAAATCTAGTACAATATGTAATTAATCATGTATTATACTAATAAATGATAAGACTTCTTTTATACTTCGAACTAGCTTTAATTAACATTTTTAACTACTTACGAATGCTATGTACGGTTGCCGTGTCGATAACGCTTATATCTTTTACATTTGGGTCACGAGATTCGAAACCAACTCTGCTATCGAAATGCATTTTTTGTTTAATTCTTATACAATTATAAACACATTTTTAACTCATTTGATTTTTATCTTATTTAAATTTAATAACTTCAATGAATATCAAGGACTCAATCACTGTAATTTCCAATCATGAGAAGTAATTACTTATTTATATAAAAATTACTTTACTATATGGTTTTTTTGTATATTGATTTGTATCTAGTTGAAAATATTACCCTCAAATATTTTTTAACTTTTTGTGTGTTACTATCAGTCTATAACATTCTAATTTTTTTGGTAACTTGTTGCTATATAAATCATTTCTAAAAAAATAATTTTTAGTTTCACCTGAATTTAACAATGAATTTTTACATTTTTGATAAAATTTTATAATACGCTCAAATTAGTAGTTTTTAACAATTTTTTGGTTGGTTTTTTTAGTTAAAGTAAATCATTAAAATTAACAAAATTCTGAATTTTTCTATTGTACAATCTTTTTAAATATCATAGATACTTAGAAATGATTACTATGATTTCTAAACAAGTGATCTATCACGATTTTTGTTTGTACGAAAAGTACAAACAAAAATTGAGTTTAATGATATCAATTTCAAACTTGCTAGGTGAGCTAAAAGTTATGGTAACGAATTCAACTTTTTTTTACTATAAACCTTCACAAAATTCAACTTTAAAGGACCAAAAAATAGGTTAAAAATGACATTTTGCACTGATTATTTTCACCTATTACAACATATTACAAGTCAAGAGCAGTTCATATCATCAATCTCTTTAAATTGTTATATACATTAAAAATAAAAAAATGTACAATTACTTGTATCATTTTTATAATTTCTCCGTATACATTATAATATTAAATTATTGAATATCAATTTTATACTAAATTTAATTACTATAATTAGTAATCATTCATATATTATACTTTTAAATCAAAGAACTACCAATCAGGATATAAGTAAGGATGTAGTCGTTCGCGTTTCTTTTGTAATTATCCATAAATATCTTAGAATTAAACATTATGTACAGATTTGCATCGAAGCGTTCCTTATAACAGTAATTTTAAATACTGCCAGATATCATATATACTTGATTCAACCATGTCACGTCCGTACTGTGTCGCGACCCCCTGTTATACCATTTTATTTTTATTTTGGTTTTCTTTAGTTACACAATATTCTTTAATTATGAACTATGTAATGCTTTTTAAGTACATCCCTTATGTCTTGTAAGGGTATCAACTTTGATTTTTTATGTTAGTGATGTTAATCACTTTCACATACCATCTATATTTTTTCCATCTATATGGCTTTCTCGTAGTGCCGCTTCCCCACTGTCTTGAGTTTTCTGTTTTCTATATTCATGTAAATTTTAAATTGATCAAACAAAAAGAAATCATAAAAATAATTGCATATATTTTATTGAATGTTAATTGTTTTATTATTTATAATTACATGTAATCACGATTATTAAGGAGAAAAATGTTTACTAGTACTTCCACTACTCATCATTGTTCCAGATCTGTTGAATGTCTGCATCAATCTCTATTCATAAAAAATAAAAAGTATTTTAAAGTTCCATAATTAAATAATTAATAATTTGTAATTATTAATTAATAATAACACCTTCCCTCACTAAAAACGTATATTTGTATCTTTGATTAGTATTCTGATATCTGAAATTATTGAACTTATATTTAAGCCAATTAATTCGCACACATATAAAACAAATTTGGTTCCTTTAACGTCGATCACTACTTTTTTATTATACAATAATTTTGTAAAGAATTTTTTTTTTATTAATTTTAAAGTTAAGTTGTACATACAGGATGATTTTTTTATCATAACCCATTCAATTACTTACAAAGTAATTATAATTTAAACATTTTTTTGGGGGGTTTTCTTTAGTTACACATTATTCTTGAATTATTAACTATTTAAAACTTTTTATGTTCATCCCTTATGCCTTGTAAGGGTGTCAACTTTGTTTTTTTAAGTGGGAACACTATTTTGAATTAAATAAAATATTTGAGTTTTTAATTTAACAGTAAATGGCATTTGAATTTTTAGTATAACTTTACTTGTTTATTAGATATAAACACTTAAAGTTTCAAATTTTTAAGTTAATATACATGTATAATACACAAGGGATTACAAATACAGGTAGCTAATTGGTTTTTTATGACATCGATATTAGTAGGTACACAGCATTGTTATTATCAAAGGTAGTAAGGCACATTGTTATGAGCTTATAAATACACTAACTGACAATAAAGAAAGTATATCTATTGATAGTCATAATTGATAATAAACAATCCGTGACTGTGACAGCAATGTCATAAAAATCCAATTAGCCACCTGTATTTGTAATCCCTTGTGTATTATACATGTATATTAACTCAAAAATTTGAAACTTTAAATGTTTATATCTAATAAACTAATAAAGTTATATAAAAAATTCAAATGCCATTTACTATTGAATTAAAAATCCAAACATTTTATTTAATTCAAAATATGTGTTCCCATTTAAAAAAACAAAGTTGACACCCTTACAAGGCATAAGGGATGAACATAAAAAGTTTTAAATAGTGAATAATTCAAGAATAATGTGTAACNGGATGAACATAAAAAGTTTTAAATAGTGAATAATTCATGAATAATGTGTAACTAAAGAAAACAAAAAAAAAAAAAAGTTTAAATTATATTTATTCTGTAAGTAATTGAGTGGGTTATGATAAAAAAATCACTCTGTATATAAATTTGATATTGCATACATTTTAAACATTAATAGTGTTACAAATTTTAAATATAAACTTTTTAACTCTTATTTAAAACTAAAACATATAAAAAATATTTAACTGAAAAAGCCACAAAAAATTACTAAAAAATCGCGTATACGTAGTTCGGGAAGAATGTTACCATTATCGACGCTCTAAAAATCTTTTTAATTCTTATTTCACATATAAATTCGAGCTACCTAACGTAAAATAAATCTTTTTATTAACCTGTATTACTTGAATAACAAATACACCAAACATTAGAAAAGACATGGTCATTAGAGATCTTTCAAAAGATGATTTTGTTATCATCGAGGAAATAGAGTCTTTCGTCGCTCGTTTTTGTATTCTTTGAACGTCTGCAGGTTTTCTATAAATAACATTACGAATATTTCTATGATGAAAAAGAAATTCTAATTGTTTTAATGCTTGATCTGTAATAAAAAAAAAATTCTATTATCAATTTCAAAAATATGAACTTTTTATACTGTCGTTGTATCAATAATATTGTTTTTACTAATATATATAAAATTACTGAAACTCATCAACTTACGCATTCGATTAAAAAAAAGTGTGCGAGCTTTTTGTAAGTATTCGAATATTGCTGTTGCCGTGTTACCACGTTGATGATGCTCAGTTAAGACCAAAGGCTCACCATCTAATTCTAATAAATTATCTTCACCTGGTAAAACAGTTTTATCGTCATGTGGTTGTTCGTCTTCCTCGACAGTTTCCACGCTGACTAAGTCATCACTATTATTTCGTTCATCGTCGATTTTAGAATCCTCTTCAATTGTCTCTGCAGTAGCTGACGATGGCGTTGAGTTAATAATTGTTTTTCTGATAGTGTTCAAATTCGGTAAATGTGTCGTCCGACCAATGTTCATCTCCGATAAAATATCGATGGTGTCATTACGAGTATTCGAATGAACAACTTTAGAATAATTATTTAGATTAAGGAGTTTGTCACCTTCCACGAGTACACCACAAGGCATCTTTACGTGTGCATTATTGGTACCATTGCTGGTTATTGTGCAAAGCTTAATCCACGTAATGTTGCTCCTGTAGTCGTGCGAATCTTCACCGTCAAAAAGAGCAAACGTGAGTGTTATAAGAACCGTAATAGTTAATACAAACGATGTCAACCTCATCTTTACTCTTACTACAAGACAGAGACTCGTTGACATTTAACGTCTAACTGTTAACTAAAACTACAACGTATTTACGGTTCTGTTATTAAAATAATTACTGTAACTGCAATGAAAAATTTCATCTCTTATGATACTCTAATACATATTCAAATTTGATTACCGTTAAGCTCTACTAACTTTTATCTATTTATATAATAACTTTAATTATAACCTTTTTTGGTAGTAATAATTATATATTTTATAAATCATACATAGAAATAAAATTAATAGTCAATTTATTTTCAAAAAAGTCGATAAGTATAAAAAAGAAAATCATTCAATATTAAAATTTAAGAATCGCTTTTCATTTTGGGATCGAGTAAAATTTTTTGCATCTAGTTACACCACACTGATTTTTTATTATTTTTATATTTTATAATTATTAATTTCTCATGAGTCTGTAATAATCATTGTTTTGTTAATTTAATGTTATTCTATGAACAAAAATAATAAAAGAATATTAAACAAATTGTTTTTCTTTAGTCTAATAATTATTAGATTAATATAATAATATAAAAATAAATTACTGTTTTAATTAAGAACATTTGTTTCAAAAACAGTTACGCACTTGACACGTCACAGATATTTTTTATAATTAACAAACAATTTAACTCCTACATTTATATAAAAAAAAACAAGGTCAAGACAAAATCAAGTAACGTAATTAATGTCACCAAATCTTATGAATAACTACACTAGCGTAATTATTATCATGTCCAAAATAAGTCTTTATTTACGTCTCTAGATAATTTATCTCTTGATAAATTTAGCTATTAATAGTAAATTTTTTTTTTTTCATAATTTACTCCAATTGAAAATAATCTTATCATATTATAGAACAAGGAAAAAAACGCTTTTCTGGGAAAATTACTTAGCGTGATCGGATTATCAAAATTTTTTTTTCAACGAAAGTACTCGGTCACTAGACCCCAAAAAATTATTGGTTTTAATATGCGCATTGACTCATTTCTGCTCATACGTTTATTCTGACCCTTAATTATATGGTGTAATATGTATTTTTATTAGGACACTATTTTGAATTTGCGCATAACACTATATTTTATATAGTGCTATATATGTTATATCCAGGAATGTTATAATGTTATATATAAATTTCAAGACGGTTATAATTATATAAGTTTGAACTTTCATTATCCGAACAGTACATTATTAATAATCTTTTTATTCTCATATATGATGTATGAGTCTATGAGTTTATCGTTTAAATTGGGATTCATCTATTACAACTATGCTGCCCAACGTTAAATCACAGTTACCAAAATGTTTATAAAAATTAAATTTTTTACATAGTCCCACGTATTCCATTATATAAACACGATTATTATAATTAGGATATTAATAATGTTTGTATATACCAAGGTTTATTTAAGGGAGATATTGCCCCCCCCCCCTTAAACCAGCACTATCAATATTTTTTAGGCAACATCTATGAAATAAGGATCTAATGTCCTTTTTTTTTTGATAATCACTTTGTTTTTTAGTAAAAAAAATTCTATAGTATGTTTAACAAAGTAAAAAAAATATTAAATAGCCTCCTAAAATAATTTTTGAATACGCCTAAAGGGAATACCTCATTAACAAACGTCAACCTTATACCCAATACATTTTACTATATTCTCTTTTTGAATTTTTCTGATTTTAATGATAATATTTTTAATATATTTTTGTTACACTGATTCTGATGTAATATTTTTTATGCAAAACACTTATCGTGACCGGCGTAGCCGAGTACTCCGCCGTAATCAGTGGCCTTCTTATGATGACGGCCCAAAGGAAACAAAACAAAGTTGACGAGACGTCAGCGGACCGCGTCTTGCGGTGTCACGAAGATTACTCCCTCAACGTATACTTGTGGCGGGTCGTGGATGGACGTGCGGTACTTGCTGGACTTTGTACAGTGGCGTATGGTGTTAGTCGGTCAAACTACCACATACACATAGTTGGGCGACGGCTGATAAAAGTGGCACGGGTCGCGGGGCTCCGAGTATCAAGAAACGCCGCGGGACCGTGTCAAAGTTTATTGCATGACAAAATGATTTTTGAGAGTATTTTTTAGTCCCGTTTAACTTACAAAAACTTAATAGGGACCGATTATTGTTTTTTTCTATTAAGTGATGAATGGTATAGATAATATGTCGACTGGCCAATTACTAGTTTAATATTATTAATTTTCGATTTAACGTATTTATAGTAACGATACGAAGCTGAAAATGTAGTGATTTTTATCGAGATGTGTTTATTATTATTATTATTTTTTTGTGTGTCTGTCACCCATTCTTCTCGACCAACTTTTTTTTTAACAATAAAAGATCACAAATCATATGCAGTTGAAACATAACCCCAAATATTCGAAAAAATTTTATCGTTCCTCAGAAATGGAAGAATTCCTCTTGTGAATCTTTTAAACTTAATTTTTGAAAATGTTACGGAAATACTCTGAACATTAAACATAAGTAAATTAAAGCTCAAATTACATAACAGTTAAAAATATAATAATTTATTACGACATTTTATCTTTTATGTGCATTAGTTAAAAAATGCTATTTTTGTGTTAAAATTTTCGATTTTATATTTATAATTTCAACTTTATATTGCCATAATTTTTTTGGAAAATGTTTAGATCAATAGTAATTTTTTTTATAAATACTTAATACGTGTTGCTTATAACCAGTATGCTTTATTTAGAAATGTAATAATTTCCACTTATACAGAAGGATTCAACGCTTGAAACATACGTAAAAAAGTAGAACTCTTTCAACTTAAAATGTGAAAATGTTCTCTGAGTTCTATGAACGTTTATAGAACTCGGAATTTAATTTATGTACATTTATTAAATAAATGTATTATATAATCCACTACAAACTATAAAAAAATTGTCCTGGTGACATATCTTCAATATGTAAAGAGTATATTATTTAATATAAAAAATCACCGTTTTTCGTGATATTAAAATATCCTCTTTAATTTTTTTTTTTTCAATTATTTATATCTATATTTTAGATTAATAAGTATAGTTTAGAAGGAGTTAGAGAGTAATGACCGTATTTTAACCCCATTTTACAAAACATAAATAATAAAAAAGATTTAAGCGTTAGTTATAAAAATTTTCATCGAGTACTTTTGCAACTTTTAATGTTAATCCAATAAGTTTATTAAAACGATGAGAATGCCTATTCAAAAAAAAATATTTTAGCTACCAACAGCTTGTAATAAATTTAAATGTCAATTTTGTAACTGAAATTAGAATTTGGGATCGCTTATGTTAATGTTTCGCTGTTTAGTGTGTGTTACTTTAACAGTGACACACGCTTTTCCTCTCAGTAATAATGAGGATACATCAGATACACCCAATTTGAAAATTCTGTCAAATCATTGTAAAGGAGATATTGGTGGAAAATAATTAACAAACGAAGATTAGAATAATAGAGTTAAGAAAGTCGACTTTATTATCATTTTAAAAATCCATAATTATACTTTTGGTACACGTTTGTTATAGAAGTAACAAAATATATAACTACTTTATTTATTTTTATAATTTATCTGTAAAAATTACAATAATAAATTATTAATTATCAATTTCATTTTAAATTTAGTTACCATAATAATTATTTATTCATGTATTACACTAATAAATGATAAAACTTGTAATCAAAATATATTTAAAGAAATAGGAGTTGATGTTGATTTAGGAATAATCCAACATTTTCTTTTAAAAATTAAATACTATTTATAGATTTGCATCGAAGCGTTTTTTATGCTAATGGTTTTAATCACTATTACACATCATCTAGTCTGGTTCCAATATGCCACGATTCTATTTTGTTGGCTTTTTGGTTAAAGGCAAGGAGAGTGTACGACATAGAGTAATTTTTACCTATGCATTATTTATTTATAATATTAACGGACATAGTCTTTTATTTAAAACTCAGGTTGTTTAACAATTTCTTAAAAATAAAATATATTTCATAACAACTTTTTTTACTATGACGACACAAATATACAAAATTAATAATATTTTTAGCTACACAAAATATGATTTAAGAGGGAGATTAATAAGATAACACATATAAGTCCATATTGGCACTACTAAAATTCGTCTCATTCATTATTGTAAAAATATAATAAAAAGTTCCCATTTAACTTTCAAAATTATCCTTATACTAATTTTTTCTTAACAATTAAATATTAATTATAGATTATAAAAATAAATCAAATTATATCTGAATATTATTTATGAAATATCATTATTTAACAAAAAAAAATTTTCTTAATAAATCACACTAAATACATAATTATTTTGTTGAAATATTAATATTTAATTTAAAATTATTTAATATCGCAAATACAAATTTTCGCAACATAAAAATTCAATAGATGACGTAAACTTATAATAATAAATTATCATTTTCATTATTAGAATATACTCTAATTTGGAATATAAGATTATTTTATAATTAAATTAACAGATTTTCATTACTCTTATTAACAGTTAATATGTGGTTCAAATTTTCTAGAGGAAATGTGCTTTTAATGCTTTATTTTTTTAATTTGTTTATCCATTTTGGTAATTTTGCTTTAATAGAAACTGGCTATAAGAATGATAAAGGAACAATCATATCAAATTACAAAAAAAATGTCATTGAATTATTAAAATGCACTTACTTACAAGCTGGAATAAATCATTTAAAATTAACTAAATTACTCTTCGGACACAAGTTAAATAATTTCAAGATCACAATTCCATTACTCTTAAAAGGTAATACTTTCGTAAAACAACAGATAGGTTCTTTATATTTAAACAATACGGTTGGAATTGGATCATTGTGGTTATTGAATATGTACATAAGTACGGCTGGAGTATATTTAAAAAAATTTTCAAATCGAGAAATTACAAAAGAAGATAATTACATTATTATTGAACTTTTGAAATGTCAAGATTATGTTTTAAAAAAATTACTTCTAGATTCGGAAAAATGTGATACAAACAGTCAATTTAACATAGATAACATGGGTTTTAACTATTCTCAAAAGTTCAACTATAAATATATTTTTTCGTTTATTCTGAGGAACATTAATAACATTGAATATCTAATTAACAAAAATAACAGTAATGGAACGTTAGTATTCGGAAATATAAAAGTTTTTAGCAGATATTATTTATACTTCAAAACATTTGGAATTAATACCACTACTGTGTTAAAGTTAATTAATAGCTTCAACTTACGAATACAATGGGGAGATATTAATAAGAAGTTGAATGATATTTATACTAATGCCGACAAACTTGATTGGCCAACTACAAAACTTAGTTCGTGTTTGTTGCTCTATTCAACTACTTTCGACTTATTCAAAGTAATCATGTTAAGATTGACTTGGAAACAATTTTTATATATTAAACATCAAGATGCATCATTGATTAAAAATCTTACAAAGCAATGGTTAATGACACTTAAAGAATTCGCCAAGTATCTGGCATTAGAAAATGACAATGTAATTAAAAATGTAATAGATAATATTTCACTGCACATTAAAAATTATCCGTTGAAAAACAATGGAACTATAGATCTCATTAAGTTACCAACTTATCAAAAGGAATATACAGACAGATTGGTAAATTATTTTAACGATATAATATCATTGCTTTGTGAAGGTTTAGGATGTACGATAGTTGAAAATTGGAATACACAAGAAGTTTTACGGACATCCAATCAAGTTAATTTTTACATAGATTTTGATAAATCTAGTCAAGTATTTAATGAAATCATAGGTACTTACGAAAATAATTTCTTAAATGAAACAATCAATTTTGGAGAATTCCTCAATTTTTTATTTAAGGACATCGATTTTAATGTTATTCGATCATTTAATGATTACTTAATAACATTAAATACATATAGTCTATTTAGTGGAAAATCATTGATTGATTTTGACACAATAAAAATTAAATAATTGGTGTTGATATTTAATAATTCATCAATGGAATTACAAATGTTCAAATTTTTGTAAATTATTACATCTTTACCAGCCATCACCTATAGTGATTTTTCGTTCAGCAATGCCATCTCTCTCGAAAGTCAAATATTGTAAATATAAAATAGATTAAAATGTCAAACGATTATTATTTTTTATATTATTTTCAAATAAATTATTAAATGTAGTAGTTAGTTGAAAAATTACAACTAAAAATTAAAAAACAAAATTTAAGTACTTAATCATCACTCTTTCCAACAGAATTAATTAATTTTCACACGGTAAATTAACTGACTTTTTGAAATTAATAATATACCATGAATAGTTAACAAAATAAAAAATGATGTTACAATTTTTTTACTAATATTATATTGGTTTTCTACAAAATAAGTTTTATATAATTTCAGACTATAAAATAGTATTATTTTATTTATTTCAATAGTAAATCTCGGGTTACAACAGTTGCAGAAGGCTTTAGTATTTTAGCTTGTGGCATTTCATAACTAATGGCAATAGATTTGGCTAGCTCAGAAAGTGCCTAAAATAAAATAATTTTTTAAAAATAAATTATAATCATAAAGTAACAACCATGAATTTACCTTGAATGAACTTGGTTCCCAAATGGCAAGATCAGCCAATACTTTTCTATTTAACTGTACATCACACCTTGAAAGGCTTTCTCTAAAAGTAGGTAAGTCAATACCATGTTCTTCACAACCTGCCTTTATGCGAGTATCCCATAACTGAAAAAATTGATTTAATAATAAAAATGATGTAGTTTACCATAAAATGATTCAAAGAAATAAAATTTTCCAGAACCTTGATTAGTCAAAAAATTAAGATTTAATCAAATTGTACACAAGTATATTTAATAAATAGAAAAAATTATGAAAAAAAATATTAAATAAAATGTTAAACACTTTTTTATAAAGTAATCATAAACAAAATATGCTTGAAAAGCAATCAGGCTACCTTAATATCGGTATTAAATACATCTACAAACATTTCTTGAATAATTTTATTTTTTTAAACTTTAGTTCTTTCAAAAAATTATAATACTTGATTAACAAACATTTTCAAGAAAATTAAATCCTTAAGATATCAAGTCTAATATTATTTAGATATCTATCATTAATAATTCAATATAAATCATGATATTACGATATATATTTTAAAGATACAATTTAGATTCTATAAATAAATTTACTTGTCCCATGTCTTTTTTTTTTAAATCACGTCCTATAGTAGCAAACTGCAAAGCACGGTGAACAGCCTTTATGGCAATTGAATAACAATTTCTCCTACGACCAGAAAAATGCTAAAAAAAATACAATTTAATTTTAATGTAAGCAATCTTAATTTATTTGAAACTTACAGCAGCGATTTTAAATATCTTTCTTTTTCTCCAAAACTCATCAGGACCTCTGCTTCTAACCATCATCATAGCGGTTGTAAAAACCATTTTAAATACAAAAATTACTATTATGTGTGTATGAAATTAAATTATTAAGATATTATTACTTATTAATACTTTTTAAAAAAATTTTTCGATAGATATCATCAAATGCACTCGGTCACAGCGTATATGATGCTGTTATTATCAAAATTTAATATACTAATGTGATAAACTATGTGAATGATGTTATAAGCGAATATATTATCTTTTAGTTGTATGCCCAATTATATAAAATACACAATATTTAGATGTGTCGTGCATGTTATAACCTCTAAAAAACAATACAAAATTTAAACTTAAATTTAAATTCTCTTACATATTCATAAGATACAATTATACATTTTTTTGAATTCTGATAAAGTTATTACTTAAGCTAATTTTAATGTAAATAATTTTCTTTAAAATATCAAGAAAAATAATTTTATTTTTGAATCACAATGAAAAAAAAATCTTGGTAATATTTCTTTAAAAAATTAACACAATTTCAATACTTTTCCATATATTTTATGATTTATGACTATTTACAGGGAGAAAAAAAGTCAAGTAAGTGATGATGATGACGAATCTGTCGATTTTGATGCAGAAGATTCAGGTAGTGAATATGATGAAAATGAAAAACTTCTTCTTGAAAAAACCAGGGAGGAACTTGCTAAAGGTGGTGAAATCACTGATGATGATAGTGAGGTACATATAATGTTTTGAAATACTATTTTAAATAAAGTTTCTTTTTCCTATTATATTTTGATTAAGTAGAGATTAATTAAATATTGCTATTTTATGAAAGTTTATTAGTCATTTAAATGTAGTTAAGCTCTCACACATTTTTTCAATTTTTTTTACTTAAAACTACTTATAACTTTTTCAAATTTGAACAAATCAATATAATTTTTTTTTTTAATAGGTGCTTAATGTCCTTACCTATCATTTATATATTTTTTTTATAAATTTGATCATTTACCTGCCCATAGGGGGGATTCAAAATGACAACTTTTTCACAAAAAATTAACTTTTTTAACCTAACTTTTGAAAGTGTTTTGGAAATACTGACACTTTTATATATACCTTAAATTAAAGCTTATGTAATATACTTTATTATGTAAAAAAAAAATTCGTACTTTATTTTGTCTTCACAGTGAAAATAGTTACCTAATGCTATTTTTCTGTGAAAATTTTCGATTTTATATTTTACATTTTTAACTTTATAATGCTATTGAACTTATTGAAAAGTGTATGTATCAACATAATTTTTTTATGAAAAATAATATTTATATCTCTCTTTCTTTCAACATTTTTAAAAAAAAATCTTATTATTATAAAATAATTTATTCATATATTACACTTATAAATCATAAAACTTGTAATGAGGATATCAATAAGTAAATAGGAGATCATGTAGATTTTGGAATAATCCACCAATTTTCTAGAATTAAAAACTATCTACAAATTTGCATCAAAATGTTTATTATAATGACTTAAAGTTTGCATATAACAATGTTATTAGGCCCAGCATACATTATTATTTTGCTTATTTACAAGACCTTTTACCAAATATTAATACTATTAATTTTAAGTTATAAATTATAAAAATAAACAAATAATATTAATGTTATATTATAGCCATTTTTAAAAAAATACTGTCCAAAATAACTAGACATGGTAATTGTTCATTACAGTGACTTGTGCTTAACTAAATATGTTATTTTGTAAGTATAAATACCTCGATTATTGTTAATAACACAATTTATTATAAAGTAGTGTTTCATTCCACATAACCAAACATATTATCACATTAGTATTAACAGAAAAGGATTTAATTAAAGACTTATTTGAAAAAAACATAGATACAATTTTATGTAACACAATATAATCAATGTCACCATACTTTTCAGTCCATTGGTTTTAAATAAGTTGGAATAGAGCTATAGTTCCTTTTCTCTGAAAAATTAGAATCTCAGTCAGTTATTAAAGCCAGTAGGCATAGATGTCATAAAATGTCACTATAACACCTATGATTTAGTCAATATTGTGAGTCATTTTTTTAGTAAAATTTACACAACATTTTTAATACCAATTTTATGTATTTTTATATATTTTGAGTAGCGTATATTATTGTTTATTTTTATAATCATTAATGGGTATTTAGTGTTGTTTTAATATTTTATACTTATTTATTAAGTAACCTGATAATAACCTGAAACTATAGTTATTACTTTGGTGTAATACTCTTGTCTTTAATTTTTTATATTTTTATACTATTATAAATATAAAAATTATTTATATTATTATAACAATGTTTGTTTGCAAAATGCACATTATTTTTAAAAATACTAAAAAATTGAATCTTTAGGTAAAAATAGAAGCTACCAAATTTTCATAATTTAAACCTTAGTTTTATTTGAAAACTATCCCTTTATAAATTATTGAAAAAATTACATTAGGAAAATATAAATTGAGTTGGTGAAGCCTGATAACAGCATTTATGCAAACTTTAAAGTACTATAACTTTTTAACTATTTATGGATATCCTAAATGGATGTGAAAAAAAAATTGAAGAAATTGTATGGAAACTAAAGTGCATTTGTTTTGAATTTGATTATAAAATCATGTAATTTTGTTTAAATTATTTAGGATGAAGTATTTCCATTACGTAATAAATTAGATATTTATGAAGATAGTGAAGAAGAAGATGATGGTAAAGAATATGATGATCAAGAAACTCAAGACCTTGAGTCTGATGAAGAAAATGATAAACATATGAGTGATAGTGACATAGAAGGTGCAGAAAGTGACTCTGATGATTTGCCAAATGACAAAGCTTGGGGTCAATTGCGAAAATCTTTTTACAATACAGATTACTTAGATAAAGATCATGGAGGTTAATAAAGTAAAATGTTAATTATAAATATATATCAATATCACATTTCTTTTTTTTAGGTTTTGAGGGAGAAGATGACGAAGAAACAGCTAAAATGGAAGAAGAGGAGGCCAGAAAAATTCATCAGAGAATGATGTCAGAATTAGAAAATATTGATCTCAATAATGAACTATTTGCGGTATTTTATCTTGTTTAAGTATTTTTCAGTTGTTATTCTAATGAATAATAAAATTTTTTTATAGGGTACTAAAGATTTAGAAACTTTCAAAGAAATTAGTGACAAAAATGATATTACAAAAATGGAAAAAATTAAAAAAGATTTGAGTTCTATGAGTGATCGAGAAAAAAGAAAGTTGCTCATTAAAGAATCCCCAGAAATGCTTGGATTAATTACTGATTTCAAAGGTAAAGTTCAATAAATTATTATGTGAATAACTGAACTTTTTAATTAGATTTGTTGTCATCAATATTTAAACGTATTAGTATCAGGGTTGGGCAATTATGATTTTATACATATGTATAGCATGTAAAAAAATGTGTGAAATATATGATATTAAATAAAACTTTTTTTAAATTTGACTTCACCAACTGAAAAAAGTAATTTGTTAACATTAAACATTTAAACTCTTGTTATGTTATTGTGTGAAATTAACAAAATGTACTTTAGATTACAGCTAAAGGACATTTAGTTAATAATGGTTAATACTTGGTCAATATAAACTTGTTTTGTTTTTTTACATTTTTATAGGATAAATCATGACAGTTGATCTTATGATACAAATATGATCTTTTAGTGATCATATTTGTATAGGCTTAAAGTAAATTTACAATTACTAAATAATATTTAATTAGTTATGTTATATATCAAATTGTTTTTATATAAAACATTTATATTCTTAATTTTTTAAACTAAAATAATGCAAATTTTATAATTGGTAATTCTTTTTTTATAATAAATACTTTTTTTCAACCATGAAGCACTTTTTATTATGAAAAAGTATTTTGTATAAACCATATGAAATGTAGAATATAATATATTATGTACATATAATACTTTTTACAATTTTAGGTATTGTATGGGTCCAAACATGATTAGTTTTAATAATGGAATAGGTTTATATATATTTATAATATTTGTTTAAATATTCTGAACATGTGACCAGTCAAGATAAATTTTAAATTGTTGTATTGAAAACAAAATAATGTGTTGTATTTAGGGGATAGTATGGAAACCTAAGAAGGGTTTTATTATCCCTAAAACAAATTTTATTTCTATACTACTGTATATAGGGTAATTTGTTTATTTTATATTAGATATATTATTCAATTACTAAAAAAATATATCTTATATAATCAATTATGAAGTCAATTTTTTTTTTATATAATCTATTATACCTTATAAGGGTAAATTCACATTTTTTTTATTGTAGAATTCATATTTAATTTGTTTTAAATTTTGATAATGATCTAACAAAGAAAATAAATTGTTGAAGACAACTTTTGATTCAATATACCAGAAGTTCAAATTATAAAATTTAGGTTAGGGATAAGGTGTGACTATTTATTTTTGTGATTCGGCATTTCTCCTCTGCACTCAACCAGTTAAACAGATATTGATATTTTCTAAATTAATGGTTTATGAAGTAATAAAGTGATACTATAAAAATACACAAGAAAAAATCTAATAGTACTTAATAATTGAGTATGAAATATATGTTGTTAAAAAAAGTAAAAGAAAAATATTTTATACCTAAAACAAATTTGAACAAACTAAGGTCTCTGAAGAATGCCTTTATTTGATTAAATTATAAATCCATATAAATCTTTTCCCTGGTAATTTTGTTTTACCCCATCTTCCTTCTACTTTTAATTTGACTTGTAAAAGATTAAAGATTTTTTTTTATGTAAAAATATTACTTCTTAAGAGTTTTCTTTATAACTAATAGAATATTGTATGTATTTATGACAACTATTAAAAACTTGAAAGTAAATTAAAATATAATATTCAAATTATTTTTGATAAGTGCTTATTCACTTATTTCACAAGTCATCAAAAAAAAAATTTAACTCATTAAAATATTATTATTTTTAGAACACATGAAAACTGTAGAAGAAAAATTATCTCCGATTTTAAAATTATTAAAATCAAAAAATATTCAAAAAAGTTCTGCTTCAGATTTTATTCAATATTATTATGAAATAATAATGAAGTAATAAAAAGTCATATTTTAATTTTTATATTTTTATAAACTTACTTTTATTTTAAATTGTTTAGTTATTGTGTAAACATTAGTTATTATTTTCTAATGAAGTCTCATCGAATACCAATTCAGAATCACCCGATTATGAAACGGTTATTACAGTACCGGCAATTGTTATGTGATCAATCAACTCGTTATAATTCTATTATTTTGCCTCAAATTGATCAAATATTATCTAGTTCGAACACAGAAAAGTATGTTTTAGTTCAAATGATTATTTATAACAGCATAATAGTGTTCACTTGTATAATAAATATCAAATCAATATGTTTTTAGTAAAAACTATGCTGTTAAACCAAAAACCAAAAAATTACTTAATATTTTATCTCAAAAACAGAAAGTAGAAAAAATTAAAAATATATCGACTAATGAAGTAAAGACTAATGGTTTTAGTTCAGAAATAATTGAAAAAGAAGATAACCAAGATGCATTTAGTAACAGTGAATCAGAAAATGAAGAAAAATCTGAAGGTATATTTAACAAATAATATAGTTTTGCTTGTTTAAAAATAAAAATATATAATTATAGTTATTAATAAAACTATGTATGATTGAATTTTTTTAAGATAAACAAGCTATGACAGTTGAAGAAAAACGAGGAATCACTTATCAAATTGCTAAAAACAAGGGTCTTACACCACGCCGAAAGAAAGAATTACGTAATCCAAGAGTCAAAAATCGAATGAAATATAGAAAAGCCAAAATTCGAAGGAAAGGACAGGTAAACCAAATTATATATAATATTAAGGTATCTCAAGCAAATAAATTTGTCAAACATAGTAAAAAATAAATATTTTAATTCAAATTATATTTATTAATTTAATTGAATGTGATCTTGAACATTATAAAAATAAATTTTAAATAAAATATGTTTTTATAAAAAAAAATTTTATTAGCAAAATTGTTGTGTTTAACTTAATATTAAATTCCTATTTTTTATATATTAGAATTGATAAAAATGTTAAACCTATGTATAACTTCATTAATACCAAAAAAAATGATTTAAAAATCACTGTTTAGTTTTAAAAACTGATAATATTTTGTTGTGTTGTATATCCATAACAAGGGTTGTTGTAACAAAAATTATTGTGACATTGCTTTATCTTGCTTCGAAAAAAATTAGAAAGTTATCTGTGTCATGTGTTAATAGTTTCGTAGAAAGATTATTTAATAACAATTTTTCTTTCAAAATAGATGGCCAAAATGAATTGGCAAACAGTTTAACTCAAATTTACACAAGAAATTGATTATTAGTTACTGTCATTATATTTTTTTGCTTTTATGTAATGTAAATAAAAACATGGATAATGATACTGGATATATGACAAAATTTAATGTAGAATTTCGCTTATAGTTCATTTTAATTTATTAAATTCTTTAAATTAATTTTTATAGTTTACATACTTATTTTTACTATTTCTATTTAACTATATTAGATATAATTTTACCAATTGGCACAACATTGTATTTTCACTTATCAATAATGATATAAACACAACTTATTTTTGCAACAAATATTAAAAAGTGACTCAATTTATATATATTTATAAAAAAAAAATTTTTAAATTGGTTGTGTTTGTCATTAATAACTTAAATTACAATGTTATAGCAATACATAAAATAATTGAAAGTCAGGAAGTAAAACTATTTTTTTATTATTTTAAACTATGTCTTATTTGTTTTAATTATAATTTTTTATTTTTAGATACGTGAACCTCGTAAAGAACTACATAGATATGATGGAGAGATATCTGGTATCAAGGTTAATTTAGCTAAAAGTATAAAAATTAAAGCTTGATTATGTTTTAATTGTATTCTTATTTTTTAAATAATACTGTTGAATATTTGATTTTAATAAAAAAACGTTAAACTATATAATTTGATCTTAATTGATGTTAAAATAATATTTTAACAACAAATATAGGTAATATATTACATTACTTATATTTTATAATATGTGATCACAAAAATATTTACTCACTTTTGTTTAATTATTTTTTATTTGAAAATTAAATTGAAATAATTTTTAATAATCCAATAAAGAAATATGTTCATAATTAATTAAATCTAACTGATAATGTATAACTTAATTCATTCAATGTTTTATATTTTTTCTTTTTATTATTAATAATTTTTATATTCTTAAATTAAATTCAAAACTTATTATTTTTAATTTTTTTTGTTTTGTTTTTTTTTTTTAATGATAAATTGGGTTACCAAAATCTTATATATAATTTAGTTGTTATATAACTTTAGATTTTTAATGTTTCTTAATATTTGAAAGTGTTTATGATTTTCGATAGTATCAAACATTCATTTATTTTATACAAATAATGTCAGAGTATATCACTCTTGTTAACTAAATAAATGTAAGGTACTCTAGTTATTGGAAATTAATAGTAATAGTGATGTATTAACGTCATTTTAGATATATGAAGTAATGTTACTTCTAGTGAAGTATAAATGATGTCTATTTTTTTTCTAAACTTAAACAAGTAATTAGAATGCCTAATAGAATCTTAATATAATTGTCTAGAATATTAGCAGATATAATATAGTCTTGATGATACTACTTAATATTGAATAAGAAATCCATAATGTTTATTTTTTTCTTGCTTAAACACTATTCAAATTTGAATGTAGTGTTTAAGATATGATTTTACTCAAATCTAGTACTATTGTCTAATACATTCATTCATAGAATAGATTGGCTAACATAATATTTGACTTAATTCACTCTTCATTCGTGTATTATAAAAACAATAAATTATAATTTTAAATTAAGTGATTAATAATAACGAGCATTTTGTGAGAAAACATATATATTAAGTATTAACATGAAAATATAGACCAATATTAAAATACATGCACAAAAGACTAATTTGAATAATTATCAAAAAATACAATATAGAATTAAGTTAATTGTCACTGTTTAACTATAATGTCACATTCTTACAATGAGTAACTTAAATTCATTTGCGTGCATATTCTACCGATTAAAACATAACCGTATTGTGTTTATCAGTCGGTGCTTTGGACAAACGACTTGGTACTGTGCCATTTAATTATTTGGTCAATGTAGACTGTCCATATCTGACTATTTCAGTCATACGACTCGTGTTGTCTTCAATAATTCTATAACGTATTGGCGTAACAATAGCTAAACAAAATAGATTACTTGGTAATGTAACACGAGATTTCTTGATCAACGTATAATTTCCGCCCATTCGTTGATTGGTAGCGTTTATGCCAATTGTACGTCTTAAAAAATACTTTTATAAACCGGATTACTAAACTTCGAGTTCAGACTAACTAATTTAGATAAATTACTTTTAATTGTAAAGTAAAGTCGCTTATTTAATGTAAACTTTTCACTCACAATCTCATTAGTGATTGAGAAATAATGTATATAGTTCTTTTTAAATATTTTTATATGAGGAGAAATTACTTTTAGCCCTTATGGACTTAGTTCATTAATTAAACTTAGTATGGAATCTTTTGTTAGTTTAAATTTTTGTACAAATTCCTTTTCAAACGAAACTACAGAAGAGAATATTTTATTAATATAACTATAAAATATATACAGGGTGGCCCACCACTCACTGACAACTTAAATAACTTTTGATCCAGTTAATATGTTTAGTTGATTTTTTTTTAAATAATAGTTATACGTTAGGTCTATAGCTATAACTCAATAATTAATTTTTTTACATTTTATTAAAAATATTAATTATTTTTAAATTTTAAATAAAATGTAAAAAAAAATCTAAGATAGCTATTTTGTAGAGTAGAATTTAAGAAAAATTTTAGTAAAAAAATATCTTATTAATATTCAGTAGTAAATATTCTGTAGCGTTTTGAAGTTTGTGAAAATTTGAATTTTCATGTACTATTTTACGGTATTAAACATTGAAATACGTATTGAGAAAAGGACAGAAGAAAACGCTATCTTTTCAATATACTTTTGAATGAGAGTGATAAGTAATAATTGCCTTATCTAATTTCTTATCATGGTATTTATGCCAAGTTTGTAATGTATACACACTATCATCATATGTATACACAGTAATCATGAAAAGATAGCGTTTTCTTCTGTCCTTTTCTCAATACGTATTTCAATGTTTATAACCGTAAAATAGTACATGAAAATTCAAATTTTTACAAACTTCAAAACGCTACAGAATATTTACTACTGAATATTAATAAGATATTTTTTTACTAAAATTTTTCTTAAATTCTACTCTACAAAATAGCTATCTTAGATTTTTTTTTTACATTTTATTTAAAATTTAAAAATAATTAATATTTTTAATAAAATGAAAAAAATTAATTATTGAGTTATAGCTATAGACCTAACGTATAACTATTATTTAAAAAAAAAATCAACTAAAAATATTAACTGGATCAAAAGTTATTTAAGTTGTCAGTGAGTGGTGGGCCACTCTGTATATATTGTAATTAGTTTTGTGACACACCAATAAACAGATCATCCGCTAATTTAATCTCATTGTTATATAGTCATTATCTTAACCTTTTTCAATAAATTATAAATGAGTTATAACTTAAATATAATACACATTAAGATGTCCATTTTTGTATCAATAAATTGATTTACAAAAGTTATAAATACACCAAAAATTATACGTATTCCTTAAAAAATTAATTGTAACAGTAATTAATGTACTCAAATTATGATTAGTATATGGTAGATACCCGTTCTAAAAAGTTCATCTAAAATTTTAGTACACTAATAAATAATTTTAGCATACCAGCATTAAAAATACGGTTTATAGTTTTAAACTAATAATTAAGAGGAACGTAGTGGCCGAGTCGGTACGCGGTAGTGCTTGACATGCACTTCTCGGGGTTCGGAACTCGGTCACAGGCGAGTGAGAGATCATTTCGGTAACTGGAGTCGCCATCCCTCACTACAATGACAGACTAACCACCCGTTCTAAAATATCAATGGTTAAGAAACCTCTTTCTTTGGGAAAATTAAACACGAAACACAGAAAAACAAATTACAACACTAGATATTATTACGGGCAACAAAAATTAAATAAAAACAACAATCTCTGTTATACATAAACAGTAACCAGCAAATAAAAAATAATAATAATGTTCAGCATTATTAAAAATTGTTTAAAACGGCTTCTGCTAAATTTATTTGCCAGAGTATTATGTGATTATTGTTAAATTAAGAAAAATTCATTTAAATTATAATTTAATTAGATTATTTGTAAAAAAAAATTCGTTTAGAATAAAATAAGATTATTTTAACTTTCTCGTTTGGTGCTATTAATAATAATAATAATAGTAATAGTTAATAATGTAAAATCTAATGAAATAGATAAAACAATGGAAATTGTTTTCCATTTTTATAATACTTGCAATAAAAGGTGTTAAAAAATTGTAATACATTTTTAAGTGTTACATACAAGAAATTCAAAACTAAGAAATATTTTTTGACACATAAAAAAAAACTACCGTTTTGAGACGTGTATTCATATTTTTTCTCTGGTGCACTAGTTAGTGGTACTATACTTTTAACAATTCTACAGGTCATAAGTCAAACGATAAGTACTAGTCAGATTTTGTTTCAACACATATATGTATCAAAATTGCATATCTTGAACGCCTTATTAATTTTAACAAATTCAAAATGGTAATTCGTATATTAGTGGAATAAATATTCATCATGTCGACAAAAAAAAATATTAAAAATCGAAAAGACTATTTTCATATTAGTTTTTTATGAAATTCAAAACTAAATTACTTGAAAGCGGATACAACGGAGGTCTCAAAAGCAAAGCTTCACAAAATTAATTAATAATCGTTATCTAGCTAGTTTTAATATTAGTTAACATTAAATAAAAACAATAAATTAAAGTTTTAAGTTACAAAAATAGATTTATAGCATTACCCAAAAATTACCTCAAGATTCTAGTTTAAAACATACACATACGTCTAAAATAGTAAACTCAAGTTAATTCTGTGTATATTTTCTAATTGGATAATGTATCCCAAAAAATATTTTCTTTTAATGGTTTAAGTCTTATTATCTATAAGTCTTAATGGAATCTGTCAAGAGTTGACTGTTTAGATAAACTAAAATCTTTTAACGTTCAATTTTTAAATTTTTTTATTTTAAACCCAACCCAACTGTATATAATCTACTGGGTCTAAAGCTCCTCGCACCACCGCCTCCTCTGGATGGAGGTCCTATCCGACTCTCCAAAGCCTCGTTTGGCAGAAGTAACTGTGATTATTATGGTTCAATATTTTTGATTTTTTTAATTAGATTGTTTTTACTTTGTCCTCTTAAACCATTTATTTGAATAAAACTTTATAAAAATTTCGATAATCTTTTTATACATTTATTAGTAGTGTGGTATTTTTATTACGCAACTATTACTATTATTAGTAGTAGTACTTTTGTCATCCAATAGATATTGAATGGTCTAGATAAAATTCCACTAATTTTGTTGCAAAAAAATTGAGCAGACCATTTCAAAAATGTATTGAATGACTTTAATACGTAATATTCAGTTCATTAGACATAATCCTTTAACTTAATGACAAGATGCATACATCAATATGAATACAATGTATATAGAGAGTACAGTAAGTAAAGAATCAGTTCAGTTGTTACAAACAATGAAAACAATAGAAACCCGTTTCCTTATTTACTGAACACTGTATATATTGTATTCATATTTATATAGCATTTATTTTTAATTAAACAATTAATACATATGATTAATTGTACATCAAATTCATATTCAAACACTTCATTTTATGTTTACTCTAATAGTTTTAAATTTATCTCAGAACCAAAGGTTTATAATATGAGAATTAAATTTCATTAGAGAACACCTGTCAGTTAAATATTTAATAATTTGATATTTTATATTTGGAAAAATAGAAATGCTCCAATTTTAAAGAAATTGTAGAAACTCTTAGATTTAAAAAAGCCATAAAAATGTGAAAACTTTGAGGAAGCCACAAAAATTATCAACTATAAAGAAGTCATAGAAATGTGCATAATATAAGAAGCCATAGAGATGCTCAAATTTAAAAGAAGCCATAAAAATTTAAAGAAACCAAATAAATGTTTCAGTATTAAAGAAACCATAAAAGTGTTCAAATGAAAAGAAGCCATAGAAATGCATATAATATAAGAAGCCATAGAGATGCTCAAATTTAAAAGAAGCCATAAAAATTTAAAGAAGCCAAAGAAATGTTTCAGTTTTAAAGAAACCATAAAAGTGTTCAAATTAAAAGAAGCCATAGAAATGTACATAATATAAGAAGCCATAGAGATGCTCAGATTTAAAAAAAGCCATAAAAATTAAAAAATTTAAAGAAATGTTCCAATTTTAAAGAAACAATAAAAATGTTCAAGTTATTAAGAAGCCATAGAAATGCTCAGATTTTATACATGCAATATTTATAATTAGACTTTTTTGTCGCATGTCTCCTACCGGCTAGGTAAAACCGATTTCTTGTAGAGAACAATTTACCGGAACGTTTTTCTATTTTAAGTCATATATTACATTAAACAAGCTTGAATTAAAAATAATTTTGTATGAAACAAGTATTAAACATATCCGTCACTATGCAGAAAACTACAAAATTGGCAATTTTTACCGAACATTGTATTTAGGCCAATAATTCCTGGAAATTCAAATTTCAAATATATTTATTTTTTCATCTAAGAGCATTTTTTAGTAGCTTTAAATTAATGCAGGTTTAAAGAAGTCAAGATTTTCGGAACATTATCATAAATTGAAAAAAAAATTATTTCCTTTTTAAACTTCCGCAGTTGAATTTCATTAAATTTAAAAATGATTTATTTTTCAGAAAATTTGTTTTTTTTTTTGCTTGTAAACAATTTTTTCTAAAAGAAAAATTATCAGAAAAAACTGTTTTCAACATTTAGAGAATTTTAAAAACTTTAATTTGCTCTAAGTTTAAAGAATGCAGACATTCTAAAATAGTATCGAAAAGAACAAAAAAAATTTTACATGCTTAGATGGTCTGGTTCAAAGTCTTCCATACTTAAGTTTTCCATTAGATATTCATAGAGATGCGAGTCGGTATTATACATGTGTATTATTCGATATGATACAAGGTATGATACACGCGTATAAAATTATTTTATACCGGCTGTATCAAAAAAAAAAAAAAAAATGCTTTATCAACATTTATATTCTTTTGGATTTGATTTTAATTGATATACGCAATTGTAATTAATGATATAGATGGATTGCATTATTAGATTTAAATGTACCTATAATCGTCAATATTATTGTAGATTAATAGATATATTTTTAAAACATAATTAGTTGTCAGATCCGCCAGGGAAACATGGTTAACATAACAAACAAAAGCAATTGACTTGTGTATGGTATAACCGTGGTCTCAGTATGTTTTTAGTATTACCACACAATAATCTTGTCACATTTTAAGCGCCAACGCATGTCGGTTCAAATGGAAGAAAATAAAAGCACAGAACAAGTGAATCTATTCTGTGGTAAAAGTATTTTGTTTTGTGATTTAAATTGTTTAAGTTTAAAGTATTATTTGCAAATTACGAACTAAGATGGGTCGTCCATCAAAGCAAAAACGAGAATGAAACAAATGAACTATTTGATAATGTCATGACATATACAAATTAAGATTATAAAATATTTCATACTTTATAAAAATTAATTCTTAGTACTCTGTGATACTAAAATTTATAATCGATAAGGTGCTTAAGTTATTTTTTTTAAGGTAACAAATGTTAATACAATTATCAATTTTAAGATTAATAGTAAGATGCCATATTTTAATTTTTTAATAGTTTATTTAAAGGATAGGATTTTTTTTTGTTAAGAAAAAGTGAGTTTTATTATTTTATTTATTATGTTATTAAAAATTTTAAGTTTTTAATGTGGTAAAATTCCAATTGTGTATTTATACTTGTTTAAAAAAGCAGACTTCTCAGACATTAAACATCATGGGTGGTTTCTGGTTGCAAATTGACTATAGTTGGTACTTAGTTGATACTAAATCATCCTCTAGACAGGAATTCTGGATAGAGAAATATCTTAGTTCAATACTTTAACTAATTACTCCCTGAACATTTTGTTTTCATCAATTTTGCTAAAGGCTTTTTCAGTAAGTACTCATTTATTTATTGCGTTTTATGAAAAATAATCACTCTAAAGTTTATTTTTTCCCAAATTTTAAGGTGCCACAAGGATTTATACGGTATTATATAGTATTATACGATATTATACAACAAAAAAATAAAATACCGTATTTTAACAACTCTAGATATTCATAAATAGCATAACGAAAAATACCGTATTGTTTCTAGTATATTTTATTAAAAATTCGTAATGATCCCGGTTTTTTTTTAAAATGTTAACTGTTATCATATTTACACGTTCGAAGAAATAACTGTAAGGAAAAAAAAAATTTAAATATACGAATTTTGAATTATATTTAGTGAAAGTTTTTTGTCGCACACACATATGTATGTACGTAGATAATGAAGAACTCCTATTAGTTTTTATAGAGTAAGGTTTTGCGTAACTCGGTATAATTTTACAATTACACGAGTTGCAATTGCCGTCGTTAGCTATTTATCTTGTAAAATGATAAGGTACATTATTTTTGAACAGTCACAGTCAACGGTTTATAAATTATTCCTATTGAAAACACTATTATCAAATTAGTATTGCGCAAGTAGAGTCATTGAAATAGCAGAAGGCGGTGAAGGGATTATAATAGAAGAGACGCGCATTACAACGGTAATAATATAATATTGGACGGTGTAATGCAATTGTAATCAGTTGAGAAACCAGTTTAACATATACAGTTAACACCTTAAATACACATGTTTGTTATGGCGTTAACGACGGTCTAAAAGTAAACAGCGAGAACCGCCAGATGCAGACGACGGCGAAGGCATCGGTGGCCAATGAACGCAAGCGTTTCCCTATGAAGTAGCCGCCCAAACGTGGACGCCCACCGCCCGTAAACGACTACATTCTCGTCCCCACTCGGCAGACACCGCCGCCGCGTGCACCGACACCACCGATAGCACCATCAGTGGTCCGCGCCATACACAGCAGCACCAGTTATCCGCCGTTGGTCGCACGTCGCACGCGCTCTCGGTTCACTAACTGTATTACATTCTGAAATCACTTGCAACAGAAATTTAAGTGTGTGATTTGTGATTGACCGTACCACCGTCGCATTGTTCTGATACATTTTTCAAAGCTTCCGTACCGCACTGTGTCGAACGGTTACCAATGCGAATCACCGCCAAACGCGAGTGACTTGTTCTTATTCGGTTTCTGTTAAACAGCGATTCGAGTAAAATGATTCAAGTGGCAGCGACGCCGATGATTGTTAAACCAAAAATTGGATTTTCTATCGAATCCATTGTCGGCGCTGGATCCAGGTCGCCGACTAGAAGCGAAGGATCTTCAGTGGCTCCAGATGAAAGCGAACCGTGCAGCTCGGGCGCCGGTTCACCGCTAAACCCGGGTAGTGTGTCTCCTCCGCCATCGTCGCAATCCCGTCGGAATGAACCACATCGCCAGCATCAACAACAGCAGACCGTGTTCAAGCCTTCCGCTCTGACGGCCGCCGGTTACGGCTCAGCCGCTCATTTGGCCAAAGGCTTACAATATGTCCACGAACCCCTTACGCCTCCACCACAAGCGCCTCATCCGCATCATCCATTCGCGTTTGCCGCGGCCGCAGCGGCTGCAGCAGCCGCACACCATTTTCAACCTAACCCACACCATCCACAACACCATCAGGCTGCCAGAGACACGTATCCGTTGTACCCGTGGCTTTTATCCCGACACGGAAGGATATTTCCTCACAGATTTCCTGGAGGTAAGAGATATTTTTTAATAGTAACCATAACGTAGAATACAGCAATATTTATTTCGATTATAAGTTCCACGCTCTTGTTAAAAGAAATTTGAAGCGGCGGAGTTAAACACATTAACTATTGTTGTGTCTAAAAATTTTAATCGACTTTTACCCGTTGGTCAGTATTTTTTAACGATTGAGTATTTTTATTTTACGGAAAACTAACTCTAAAAATGTTGTCGGAAATATGTTACTCGTCCGAGTGTATCTTTATGAAGTCATTTAAAGTAAATTGTCTTATCTCCGGCTTACCGTGACATTATTTACTAATGAAACGTTCAACACCTTATTTACCGAACGCGTGTATACTATCAGAAATTGCGTTTCTAATAAAAATACAAATTTAATCTGTTGTGAAAAATATCGGCCTAAATTTCAAAACGGTAGTTAACCGATGTTAAAACTTTTTTATATCCTAACGTGAGCAGTGATTATAATTTATCTGGCGACAACACGATATTTTTTATTGTGTAACGCGTTGCAAGCGTATTATCAGTTTTCGATAATTTCTGTTGTGGAAATTTCGATTTATAGTTCTATCGTTCAAGTCAATAATTTCTGGAATAAAATTGTTGTTAAATTTAAAACCCGCATGACGACAGCGATTTTTGAAACCATACGGTACTACAAGTGTTATGTCGCAGTGTTCAATAGGTATACCTACCGTAATATTGATGTGCTTGTAAAGACGATTGTTTGGCGGTACACTTGTAGGTTTTGGGTTTAATATCGTTTTATCTTACGGACGGGCATAGAAAGCGACAAGAACGGTAGAACCTTCCACCCCCGTTGTGATGTATACGCAACAGTAAGAATACAAGAGGCTGCCATTAATATATTGATGCTAAAGACCTGCGTCCGGCCTCGTACTGCAAACAATTATATTATTTTCCCGTATTATTGTAACGCACGACATAATACAATATGTAATTCGTACACGCAATTCACCCGACGCGTGACAATACTAATGCTCCGTAGGTAAACAGACGATTTGTTTTTTGGTGACAAAAAGGTGTGTCGTTCCGGCATTTATACACTACATTATTACTATTATCACATGGAATTATGATGCAACGTGTAGCGGTGGGTCCCGTTCGAATGCAGTCGGAAGAAAACAATATTTCGGTAACCATAAAATTCCTCGTAGTCCCTCGACGGTCCTTTTTGTTGGTTCGCAGCGTGAAGTGCTTGTCCACAATTTGTTTGATCTTGATCTCTTCCTGGACCTTTTTTTTATTATTCATTTCCTTAAAATCACATTTGCGCAACCGAGATCCCGTTAAGGGTCGTTTATATACCCTCGTTATTGACGGCCATGGTCAAGTGTCGCCATGATAATTGTGAAATTTACTTCTGATTTCAGTGAAATACTGTAAATTGTCATTAACACAGATGATATTCACCCGAGTCGTACAATTCTATAATTTGTTTCGAGGATTCGCTTTTTAACTGAATATATAGTAGTATACTTGTAATAATTATAACGTAACAGTTTAAATTTATTTTTTTATTATGTTCAATCTAAAGATGTGATCGAATCAATACAATTCAGATGAACTTGCAAAATGTAGTTTATTATTATCTACAGTTATGCGTTTGCTTTATAATGCCTACTATTTACTTAATTACCAGACTATATTTATTCATTATGAATGTTTAACGATCACAGAATGATTATATTACTTTAAAAAATAATTATCGAGCATTATTTCTTTAAATATTTAAGAATAATAGTTAATATGCATTACGTGCACTAACCATCGTTATAAAAAATAAATCAATCAAAACACAATGAAATGGTAATATAATTGTTCTAATTATTTGTCAATAGGCTGTCCAATAGTAGCAGGTAGTTACGCAACCATTAAAAAACTGATAAAAACTAACGTCTTGGTGAAAAAAACAACTATTTCTATTGGGTTGTAAATTTTTTTCAACCGACCGGTTGAAACTAAATCCTAAAAACTGTATTTATTCTGCGCAATTAAATTGAAACGAACGATCAACACGACATGCATTAATAAAAAATACATGAAATTGTATTTTTGCCGACCGCGAAAAATGTCTTTTCAGTATTCCGCCCAAAAGTACCAGTGGTCAACGGCGGCAAGTATATATTTCACTGTTGTGCTTATTAAAAATCACACCCTCCTGTTGTTTCACTACTGTCGAAGAATATCATACGCTTTCTCGTGTGGTCCGACTTCTTTACCGGTAAAATACGTTCTCACGTTTAACAACCCAGAAACGGAGTGGTTGCATGTACCAATTAATATTATTATACACACGACAGTACACTTAAGTATACTCGTGTTTTAGAACTAACTAGTGGTTTACTGCATTTTATGGGCTGGCCGCGTATCACGTATATGCATTTACAGAAATAACCGGAGGGATGATACGCCGAACACGAAGGTCGATGGGAAAAAATAAATATCATTTACTTAAGAGTAAAAATACAGTGGATATCAAAACAAGCCACCGTGTACTCACGACCACGAGTACTTCTCCAGACTAATCGCCGACCGTTTTTTAATACTCGCGCACTTAATATTGTAATTTGTAGTAGTTATACACAACATCAATATCATTGTTGTGTATAACGACGTGACTTGCATGTTGATAAAAACACTATTGGTAACTATGTAAAAAAAAAATCTGTTATGCGTGTCCTTACTGTGCAAGTTTTACGCGGTAATCAGATAGCACATAATTGTTACCCGCATGGAGTGTAAGAAGTCTCATTCCGATCTACTTAATTACAAGTGTTGCGCGGCGGTAACCACGACGAGGTGTATCACGACTTGAGCATTGGGCTTTCGAAAATTTTGTTTTCTATACCTACCGAAATTGAATATTATTACACTATATGGGCTTGTGGTGAATACGATATATTATTAGTATACATCGTTGCCGGCAGCGACGAGGAGATATTTATACACACGAGGAGGCAGAAAATATTACACAATAATGCGTATAAGATACGACCGGTGTGTTTAGTGGCGGTGATGATGCGGCCGGCTATTGTACGCTAACTATGTGGTGTATATATTATCGTTATTATTATTATTATTATTAATTGCCCGTGTTCGACGTGCGGGCGTGACGGTTAATTAACAGTAATAAATTAGCGTTTGTAGAAACACAAAAGTGAAATACAAATAAATATAAAATGTAAATTGCCATTGTCAAAACAGTACGTACGATTCCGCAGGCACTACGTCGGGTCCAGATGGCACATGTATTCTTTTCGGATGGGTGTGTAATTATTACTTGGCCGATGATGATGCGATCTTATCTCCAGCGATGACATCTACAGCCGTACGAGTTCAATTTTTTATTACTATCGGAAAAACAATCGCGTAATTACAATTACATTGCTTGTACATACCGACAATTATCAAGCGCCTTTAATTATTAATTACACCGTTGAAATACGTGTAGTTTACTCCAGTCGGTAATAAACTTTGCACGGACACACACACTCATAGACACAACAGCGTAGACGGCGTTTAAGAGAGAGGGTGGTCCCTACGCTATGAAAAGGCGGTAACAATCATTATTGTTATTAATCGTACTTAATAAAAAAAAAATAAAAAACAATGGTTAAACCATAAAGGAATACCCGACAGAAACCGTCTACTCCGACGGACAGCTTCTTATTAGGCCCAGATTAAATTACTGTAAGAATAATTTATGATTTCATACATATTTATGTTTATATACGCACTTAAGTAACCCTGCAATTAACCTCGACCGGACGTGTTTTTCTCTGTGATAATAATCGGCTGTTTTTTCTTTTTGTTTTTAGGCGCGGCCTACTATAATTGAGTAGGTCATGTTATTATACAATAAAATATATTAAAACGACGCGTGAAATTTTCATAGTAAAACTAACACGGTTAATTATCATTACTGATTTCCAAGATCGTTCTCATTACATCAAACGGAAATGTATTATAGTGTTGTTACATGACAACGTGCACAGGCGTTCCCAGTCGACGTTCAGTAATTAATAATAAATTCGTTTAGTTGTAAATGAACGCGAGAAGATTAGATTGGATTTCAACGTGTGTGAATTTACTAGAGTACGTTTAACACATGCGTTTGGACTATGACACCATTACGAGTTGTCGAACGAATTGACACGTTAATGTTGGCAACGCTGCGATAATTAGACTATCGTTTTTACCGAATTTTACAAACAACAACAAATCAATTAATTCGGAGAATTTATTGTCGGTCTCCACGAGCTCGATCCGATCGCCGTAATCTCGAATAATTACTTATCGATTCGATTCAATAAGGCCATTCATCCTTGACGCGACCGAAAAACATGCGTTATTAATTATGCTCATCTAAACTATAATTGTTTGATACGTTAGCCTACAACACAAAGGCGCTGATTACACAATTCCTACGGGTTTCGCCGTAGTAATTATTATTTGTGTAAAAGCTCACGCGTGGGAAACCGTCAATACACATTGGTGTTGGTGCCATAACACAACGAAATCACACTCTCGAACAGTAGTCGCACGTTGACGATAACGAAAATTAGGTAGGCCAAAAGAAATTGGAGCTGCCGATAAGAAAATAATGTGATAGTTATTGTGTACCTATTGAGTACACGCGCACTGTTATTGTACGTTGTTTAATGCGACAAAGGTGCAACTAAACAATATTGGAGGCTCGCCTACGCAAGCCATGTTTAATTTATAACAAACTCATTGTCCAATTGTGTATTCTAATGAAGCTGTTAACAGAAAGACACACACACACACACTGTAGTGCGTCCAGAAGGAGAGAGGTAAAAAATCATAACGTTTATAATATTGGAAATGGGTCCGCCGCCACCAACTCTCTAATGTATTCCAAACAAGTTTTTGAAATAAATTTATTTGACACCACCGTTGAATATTTTATCACTGTTGGCTTTCAAATTAGAGTGGGTACACACAATGTTATCACAGGTTTTCGAGACCCCTTGCTGAGATTGTATACATATACACACGAACGCGTAACGATATTGTGTTTTTCTCCACGTCTTTCCCCGTAAATATACCAATAGTAGTATCCTATTATTCCGTCGTAGTATATGGTCATAAAAAAACCGACACTAGTAAAATAATAATTGAATGTGGAAATTTAAACGATATTGTTAAAAAACGACAATACGCATTGTAATATAAAATTCAACTTTTGTGATTTATTAATTTTTATTTTTGCAGGACCCGATATTCCTGGATTCTTGTTACAACCCTTCAGAAAACCGAAAAGAATAAGAACGGCATTCAGTCCGAGCCAGTTGCTCAAATTGGAACACGCTTTCGAAAAAAATCACTATGTGGTCGGCGCCGAAAGGAAACAGTTGGCCCAGTCACTGAGTCTGACAGAAACTCAGGTGAGTTATCACATTAAGATTGTACTTGTATTGTGTTTACTTAAGTACGACTATAATCAGTCAAAAGAACTCTTTTCTTGAGCAGCGACAACTTAAGAACACATTTGTAGGCCATTGAATTTTAAACACTCGGTACATAATCTTTTTAGATAAAAAAAACGATCATTTTACTTTACTTTGTGTTAAATAGAATTATATATTTAATAAAAATCGGTATTGTTACTCAGTTTTTCCTTTAAGTTGTGATATTTGAACAATACGACTTTTACGGTAAAAAACAAATGATAGAAACACATTCGATGACTTTTTGTAAGTAATCGGATTGTGTCGGCGTTAGTCAGTTTCTCGGAGGGTTTTAACATTTTTTTTAGTCAAACGTTTTGTAATCGACGAGGGCGAGATAAGATGATAATATGTGTTTTGATATCACTTTGACGTTAGCCGTTATGTGCCGCTCAACAATACATTGTGTTGTCTTCAACAACGGGCCATGCGAATAATAAATTCATGTTTTTTATTATTACACATTATAAAATACATCGGTTGGAAGTTCGAGTGTCACGATGGCGACGTAATAATATAATGGCATTATACATTATAATGCGTATGATAGTTTTCCAGTTAACCTAGCAGACAAGTAAAGGATTATAGGGGAATGGGATTAAACGGGTGTGTGGCCCTTACATTAATCGTAAATACGAATTACGTTTAGTATAGGGGTGAAACGATTATGTATTATGTGAAGACTCCACAGACCTTCACACGTTGTTGACGGCGAAAGTAAACATTAAAAAGAATCATATTTGATAGGTTTGAAATCGAAAAATGTAAAAAACGATTATATCTAGAGACATAGACATAGTTCCGAAACGAATAAAGCAATTGTCTCCTTCGTTTAAGTTATCGTAATTATTGAAATTCCTTCAACAAATAGCCTAATTATCCAGTAATTATGGTGATTAATCATTTGTTATTAGGCTCGATTTGATTATCAGTAATAATTATATTCATTAAAAATCCTAAATAAATTTATTTATTTACAGCGATTGTTTTTTTACAAAATAATATCATTCTCTACTATTACAACTTTGGTTGACATTATGCAATTATTCAATGTAAATAATATTACAATTGTTCTTTCTAAAAAAAAAAAACCTCGCTAATTTAAACGTATCTTATTATTTATTCAGTTGCGTTAATTGAAAAATGTAGACGATGTTTGCCAAGTATTATTAAATTAATTATAACAATTATCGAATACTTGAAATGTTTTTACAACACTAAATATCGAAAGGAAAATTAATAAGATATCATTTTGACGTGAAATCGGGGTCCAAAAGGTTTTTAGCATTTTCACAAATGAAATGTTACGACGGAGTAGAGTTGGGCAATTAAAACGAGGAAATCACAAGGCAATGTAATTTTTTTTTTTTTTAAAGAACATTTTTGAGCGCATAATCCAAATCGACTTTGGCTCAATAGCTTCAAACCGTTTTTAGCTTAATAATTCTTTACCTCGTGAACTGAAAACGAGTTTTAGGAAACATTAAAACGAAATAAAAATCGGTGTGCCACAGCCTGTTGTGTTCCATTGTATAATGTCAGTTTAAAAATGTATTTTTTTAAAGGGTGTCGTTTCCTCTCGGTCGCTCACGTCCAATTCGATTCTACTTATTATTGTTATCATTGCTATTATAGGCGATCCGGCATTGTAATAACACTCGTGTAAATTAGATGTTATTCTTTTTGCCCAGGGGGTCTGTCGGTATACGTGCGCAGCGTATGCGAAGAGGGGGCATTTATTTTCGAGTGCCCTACTGGGGACTGTATAATATAAATTCGACCAATCGGCAGTTGACGTATTATCGCGGAGGGTGTAAATAAGTTGCCCTCCGCTGCCGATTCCGAGGGGTGCGCGCCCTGTTAGCGTATAGACTTATCATGGCGGTCGTTAACTTTAATATCACACACGGCGACCAAACGGCATTTTATTAGTATCATCATCACATCCCCTCGGTCGTCCCGTGCGATGGCCGTATGATGACTACGATAATTGCGTCAATTTGCGATACAGTTTTTTTATCCGGCCCAAAGAACCCCTGTAAAAACTCTAGAAGATAATAACAACGACGTTTTGCAACATCACACACGGTAATATGTTAAAATGATGAAGTTATATTTTATGTTATGCGTATTTTGTACAATGGTAGCAATTAAAAACAATCGTGTTTGACGGTAGTTTATTTTGTTGTTACAAAACGAAACCGGAATTCAACACTCTCCACGCAGCGAATTTGGAAACATTAATTTCTCTCTCTTTTTTTTTTTTTTACATCGTCTCTATAATAAATGTGTTCCCCGTGCAAAATTCGTTTGTTTAAAAACAAAAGACATAATCAGAGCATAGAAATATTTTAATTCGCCTTGACGTTTTTAACTGATATTAGTCATCTTAGAGCTGTTTCGAAAATTAATAATCGTACTAAACTTTGAAACACTTATCCTAAACCGCACATTCGACTGCTAAGTAATAATGATATTATTAAAAATTGGTTTACGCTTACCTAAATAAACGTAATGAAATCAGGGAAAACTAACACTTAATGGACCTATAAAAGAAATTTGATCCCGCGGGCTGTAACTTAAAATTTAACGATTAACTAATTTGAAATCTATAAAATAAAATTATAATATTTATCCTGACCAACTTACAGCAAATAAAACATATCAGGTGCATTACATTTCTAGTTGCATTCAAGTAAATGTCGTCATTCACAAATACGATCTTACCACTTTGCTAAGTGTTAAGTACTTATTATTAAATTGGACGGGCTAACCGTAACCCGACGGTTTGAATTGGTTTAACTTTGGATAATAACGTACATATTACTGTGAAAGGAAACAACTTGTAACGGCAATATTTCAGTTCGGGCGTTGGTCCTATCGAGCCCACCCCTGCTGTTCACCCCACCCCTACTTTATTCGACGCCAGCATATAATAATATACAAACCATCAACGAGGTATTGTACAAACAAAACGGTCCCCGAGGACGACGGGGTTGGCTCCGTTTAATGTAGTGGAAAACTGAGCTTGTTTTTGATAATGAGGGAGAGGGAGCGACGTGCCTACGACTTCCCCGTGGGAATGGCCGATGACAGGGTATGCCGGGTAGTGATGAATGATTTCCAACCATCACGGGTCATTTGATTAAAGCGCATGCCGTTTTATTAGCATCGCCATTGCGTTGACTGCACAAGCTAATAATTTCGGCGCTAAAAGCCACACAGCAATGTACAGGCAGTGTAGTATTTGTACAGCGATATTATATTGCGGTGCCCGTTCGAGGGAATAGCTCGTTGCGGCAAAAACACTCGTAATAATGTAACTTCCATGCCGTACAACAATGTTATTACTACACAGTGTCGTAAAGTATACACAAACCTAAAATTACATGTAATGTGTATACGTTTTTTAAACCTGGACTGTATTCGAAGCGCACACGTGTAATAAACATTCGACGATATTTTATGGGAAACGTGCTCCGGGTACTCGATGGTTTTCTGGAGGGACGATGACACTTTTTTAAGTGAAGGGGCATGTTTGAGCAATAGCTGTTATGTCTTGCGCATCTTGTGAGGACGCGGAAAAGTTTTTTCCTCCGGTTAAATATTTCGTCTCGCGCGCTATGACGTTCTCTGGAAAATAACTATGGAAATGAAGGAAAAGTAGAAATGAGGAACGTGTACACTGTCCGCGTTGGCTGAGCTAGGGAAAGCACAAAACTACTTCACAAACGCATTTACCGAAAGGAAATTGCTATTGTTTGGAGACGGTGCCAACGTACGACGTGCATTTATCATTTTCAAACTCCAACAATTTACAACAAAACACCCCCGCACGCTAGACGATTGCTGTTTTTTTTTCTAGTTCTATGTGTTATAATTCATTTTTTGGTATTCCAAAACATTACAAATATATATATCATTAACAGAAATCAAAAGCGACAATTCATCTTGACGTTATGTTACATACACTAAGAGTGATTTGTTGATTGATGATGTTATGGAAACTATGGACGAGTTTAACGCGTACTAAGTCTTAAATCAGCTTTAAATATTTTCAATTACAATTTAATTAAACCATTAAACTTAACTGTGTTTAATAATTAAGATTATTGTAGTATTGCGTTGCACAGAACATCAGTTTTGCGGCTAATTTTTTCATCCGACTAAAATTTAACTGTAAATTTATAAAATACATTATTCGAAATAATAACCACGTGAACAATATGCTAAGTATACAAATCAATGAACATTAAATTATGGTATATTTTTCAATTGATAAAAAGTATCTATTGTACGTTAATCAAAGTCAATTTTTAAAAAAACTTGGAATTTCCATATAAATATAAAATTAATTTAAAGCTGATTGGTTAGTTAGTCAACTTTGAAAACATTTTATTTTCTTTAATCGTCAAAAAGTGTCACGTTAGTTATTATGTCTTTGCTTAATTTAATATAAACATCCCAATAAAATAAATTGTTGATCAATCGTCTTAAAAAAATGAATTTTGTATACAAAAACGTTCACCTTATTTTCGTTAAACAGTAATTAAACGCTGTGTTTATTTAACCTTATTATTTGTTTGTTGTGTATTCGAGTACAAACAAAGTAACGGTTTTTATAATAATAATCGATTTTAAAGCTTATACCTTTTTAATGTTTTTGATAAAAAAAAAAAATCTTCCTGCAGTAAAAAAAACAATAATAAACCGTTTTTACCGAAATATAATACAGTATTATGTATTATACGCAGCACAGATATTATATTTGTGCAAAAGGGTCGTGTGTGTCATCATGTCCGGCGGAACCCTCTTTCTTTACATAATGCCATAATATAATACAATGACAGTTCTGTCTTTCTCTCTGGTCTCTTTTACGGTAGAGCAAATATTATTTTTCAATCGTTCATTTTACACACAAATCGGCGGCCATCTTGCGTCAGTTGTTTTACGCGGAAATGAAATATATTTGCCCGAACCGTTTTTTGTCACGTACTGCTGTTTGCTATCACATATCGCAGATTAATCGGCAATCATCAGCCGAGTAAACAGCCCCCGGACTCGCATTGCCTCCCCTGGCCGCGCTTTGTTGTTTTCCAATTCCTATGTACAATATTGTATCCGGAATCTGCTGCACACGCATATTATAACGCCCAGCCCGCTCAATAAAGGATTTCCACCCTTACGGAGATTAGTGTAAAAACAAACGACGCGCGTCCCCGTTTTTTGTCAAGTCGTGTAGGTAGATACGTTTTCCAATTAAAAAATATATTTACATGTTTTCCCGTCGAGCCTAACACTATGTACATCAATTGCGCGTTTTGATTATTTTCAATGATAATTTATGAGTATTTACTTTTGGCCGTGTTTTTCTGTGGGTTGTGTACAATTCATGACTTGTTATGATGAAAAAATCAATGTTATTATCTGTGTGTACGTGTTCTATTAAAACAACAATTAAAAAGATAAAAACTAGTAATACCCGAACGAAATGTGAAAATTACTAATGCGTGTGTGTATTTGCTCCTTAGAAAATACAAACAAATATTTCGGCACAATTAACTAGTTGGTATTATACGCTACAGTTCTAGGCCGATCTTGAAATGTCGGGGGGCTCTTAGGCAGTTACAAAATCAGAGCCCCTCTTATGTGGCATATTTAGAAATTTACTAGGGATTGGGTCCGCACAACTTTCAGACCGTAGAGTTCTTAAAGCTATACACGATCGTTACTCGTCTAACTTGACTACCATAATTTTATGTCAACGGGATGGGGAGGGGTTCAGTTATCGTGCCCTCTCGTAAATACGCCATTATTCCTCGTTGATGTTATGTTAAATCAAAAAAATGTTCATATTTCCATTTGCAAAGAGAAATTACTGTCTGACTTGATAAGATGACCTCCTAAAATGTTTGGCCCCCGGCAGCTGCCTTGTCTGCCTGGGCCCAAATGCGGCCCTCCTTCATTGACACAAAACGTGTTCAAAATCGCATCGATTAGTTGTAACGCATTGCAAACATTTAGACGGCAAACAATTGAATTAACGTGTTGTTTTATTTTGCTTACAGGTCAAAGTTTGGTTTCAGAACAGACGTACAAAGCACAAGAGGATGCAACAGGAAGAGGAAGCCAAAGTGCAACAGTCTGGTGGCAATAGCGGTTCCAAAAACAATACACACCACGTGAACAAGTGGAAACAAGAGACGCAGAACAGCGGTGGTTCCGATAGTGAGATGCACAATTACGCGGACGGTGGGTCACCGCTCCACGGAGATGACGGTCTCCAACACTACGACGGATACAGTTCCGAGGCGGACAGCGATGTCTGAGGTGGCCACCAGCTCCGGAACCATTCGTTCAACTACCCGCCTACCTATAGTATAACCCGTTAGGTTTTTCTCAACGGCCCGCCGACTCGACGGCTTTGGACTACGTTTCCGTGCGATTCAACGGCATTCGAAGAAGAGGTAATGTAAAAGTGAAAATGCTGACATTATCAGTATCACCTTGTCTAGAAAAACTTCAAATCCTAAAAAGGCCGCGGAGCATTTAAATGTCTTCTATTATGGTCAGCTTCTAGCGACCGAATTACATTCTTACTGTTTACTGCGAAAGCGGTGAGATCGTCGAGTGACATACGTGTGCGGGCGAACTGTCCAAATTCTAGTCATTACATGTTAATAAATTCTATTATTTTTGAGTGTACATATTAGTATATCATGTGTCAAAAAATGTTGTAAATTTATGTGTAAATATTATTTTAGTACATATAATTATTATTATATATGTGTAATTTGTGAAATTTTTTTTTTATTATTATCATTATTTCCATTAACATTATACTATTGTACAAAGTAAAAGACTAATGATAATATACTCATTATAGAACGTCTAGAATGTATTATTATTATTATTATTATATTATTATTGCGATTATATATAGTTATTATTATTATTATTCTGGAAAAGACAATGGCTTGTAAGATAAAAATAATTCACCTACTCGCAAAGATTGTGCATTTGCGTTTACTGCTAATTATTGTGTCGTTCAATGAACTCGCGTTATTGGACAAATAAGACTTTGTTGTAGCAATTTTCGTTCGAATAATAATTATTAATAAATAATAATTATAATTGTTTAACTTATTGCCGTTTATTTTTTCTTTTATCACCTACTCTAAAATTCCATAAGGATTTGGATACTCGTTAAAAACATCAGGTCTGTTTGATGAATACAACACCATTTAAATTATGATATACATAATAATGTATAATACATTTTTATATTGAAACTTCACAAAAGTTTACATTAAACTTAAATGACAATACTTGGTATAAGCAGAGTGACGCTAAGTAATGACGACTTATAATGTCTAAACCTAATGCGTTTTATTCAGCTGACCGGGTAGGTATTTACAGTAATAGTTTCCCGCAAATGTATGTAATCAAATTAATTACGCAATAAAATTGGTAACCGCATCCACAAATTAGGAAAAGCAATGCGATGTGAAAAATAAAAGCTTAACCCCATCGAAATAAAATTAAATTGAGTCGGACATTACAGTTGTAATAGTTGAACGTCAAAATTATATATTCAAAGCACAAATTTCTATATGGTTTTCAACTACTTACGAATTAAATCCATTCGTAATTAGTATTTATTGACTGAACATTGCTCATTTTTCTAAAGCAGTTTAATTTTTTTTTTGCCCTTGTCCGAAAAAATATTTCAAATGCGTTTTTAATGTCTTTTATGTACTGACAAATTTGAGTAGACGCTATTAAACATATTTTACTAACAAAAATCATAGCACCAAGTAGATAAAAAATGTAAATTAATGACCACAAAAAAATTATTTTTTAATTGTATAATGAAATTTTTATTCGAATTATGAAAAAAAAAGTTGAAATATCGTTTCAATTAAATGTGTAAAGACATTAATTGAACACTTGCATTATTGAAAACATAACATGAAAATATATAAAATTTGTAAATTTCAACGAAAACTTCAATATTTATGGAATTTTTGTTTAAATATTTTGGCAATAATTCTGATTTTTATAAGTAATAAATTTGTAAATGTAGTTGTATATGTCATATAGCGAATTTTCTGCCTATTACTTAAAAATGTCGATAATGGTCATGTCTCTCAACTGAGTTTCCGTGGTGTAGCGGTTATCACATCTGCCTAACACGCAGAAGGTCCCCAGTTCGATCCTGGGCGGAAACATTAATTTTTTGTCATTAAAACAATATATATATAATAAGAGAATTCAATAACAATTGAATACTCAAAAGTATATTAGTTTCTTTTATGCGTGGACACTTGCAATTAATACCGTAAACATTAATAAAAAATAAAGAATATCAAATTGTTATGCTGTTATAATTATTTTCATTTAATTATTATTTAATAAACAAAACACACACACACACATATATATTTATAGAAAGTGAATCAATTCCAACTGACAACTCTTATAATTCTAGATACAATTAATATTTCGTTGAAATTTTTTAAAAGTAATTTAGTCTACGTTAAAATCGTACTTGTTTTTAATTATAAAAAAAAATGTATTTTAATTAAAAATATCGCCAGTTTTTACACATTTCCTACAAAAATGATTAAAGCGTCGATAGCAAATATAAGATAAGTACTTATTGAGCTACAAGTTTTTAATATGCTGAACGGGAATATAACGCGGGTGGATCAGTTCGTATTGGTGTATATTTATTACGTATGCTCTACCCGCGGTACTTAACCGTTGAGAGTGTTCAGTAAGTAAGGAAACAGGTAAATAGTAATGAACAATAGGAATCTGTTTGCTTACTTACTGAACATATATATTGTATATAAAAAAATTGTTGTAACTCAATAATTAAAATAAAAATTTTTTAGTTCAGTTAAAAACACCCTATATATTAATACATGTAGATTATTAAAAATCAATAATATGATATAATATAATATATATAATACTTGTTTAATCAAAAGGTATAATATGTTTCGTAATTTTTATTTGAAATATTACTTTATTTGATTAGTATATTAACTACACAAGTATTTTAATATACCAAAAGTTCGCCTTGTATAATTAATTATTCTTTGTGCTATCGAATATTGTATTTTATATTCTTAATATCAAAGTAAGATTATTCATCAAATAAATTATAAGTATTTAATGTTTCTAAGTATTCAATAAATGATCGAATAATATTAAAATTGACGCGCTTAAATAAGTAACTGAGATATCTTCCAAAGTCTTGTTGGACACAATCTAGTACACTAATAGAATTATTAATATAGTTTGAGTCTGTGATTTCATCACTTTCAGTTGTTTCATCAATAGATTTATTATGCAAAATACGATCTGAGTAAAAAGTAACTTGATTGGATATCTGTAAAACTTCTTCTGTATTCCAATTTTCAACTATCGTACAACCTAACCCTTCACAAAGAATTGATATTATATAGCTAATATAATCTACCAATTTGTCTGTATAGTCCTGTTGATAGGTTGATAACTTATTGAGATCTACAGTTCCATTGTTATTTAATGGATAACTCTTAATGTGCAGTGAAATACTTTCTATTATGCTTTTAATTGCAACATCTTTTTCTAATGCCAGAAAACTTGCGAAATTTTTAAGTGACAATAACCATTGCTTTGTAAGATTTTCAATCAATGATGCATTTTGATGTTGAATGTATAAAAATTGTTTCCAAGTCAATCTTAACATAATTACTTTGAATAAGTTGAAAGAAGTTGAATAGAGCAGCAAGCAAGAACGAAAATTTTTGATTGGCCAATCAAACTTATTGGCATTATTATAAATGTCTGCCAACTTCGTCGTAATATCTCCCCAATGTATACGTAAATTGAAGCTATTAATTAACTTTAACACAGTAAAGGTATGAACTCCAAATCTGTTTAAGTATAAATAATATTTTTGAAATACTTTTGTATTAGTGAATACTAACGTTCCATTACTGTTATTTGTCTCAATTAATATATCAATATCATATAATAGTTTCTTATGAAATGTAACAAGGTAATCATAGTTATAGTTTTGAGTATAGTTAAAGACCAAGTTATTTATGTAAAATCGGCTTGTTTTATCACAATTTTTCGATTCCAAATCTAATTTTTCGTAAACATATTTGTGACATTTCAAAATTTCAGTAACTTTAGAATAGTTTTCTTTTGTAATTTTACTATTTTTAAAATAATCTACATATGTTCCAATTGTAGATGTGTATATATTTAATAACCACAATGATCCAACTTTAAATTCTTGGTTGAAGTACAATGAAGCTAACTGTTTTTTTACGAATGCGTTACCTTTATGGATCATATGAATTATGGTCTTGTAATCACAAAGTTTGTGTTCAAGAAATATTTTAGTTAATTTCAAATGATTCATACCGGCAAACAAATAAGTGCATTTTAATAATCCAATGTCATTTATTTTGTAGTTTCGTTTGAGTATTCCTTTGTTATTCTCATAACCAGTATCTAATGTAGCAAAATTACCAAAATGGATAAAAATAAATAAAAAAATGAGCTGTAAAAACACTTTTTCTTTAGATAATTTACTCCACATTTTAATATTTTATAAGGCAATAATAATCTTTTGGTTTAACTTGGTTATATTTATAGTCGTTTTTATGTGTCTAATTTTATTTTAGTAATAATTGTAACTTATAAAATGTTATGTCATTTATTAAACCTCGATGTTACGAAAATCTGTGTTTGAGATTCTATGTAGTTTTATGCCAAATGCTAAAAATATTTCGTTAAATAATGATATTTTCATGACTATTTTGAAATTACAATGTGATTTATTTTTATGAATCATAGTTAATACCAAATTATATTAAATAAAAAAAATTGTTTTTAATACCAGTTTTTAGGGGTAACTTTAGAAAGTTATAAAGCAAAATATTATAAATATTTTTACTACTAAACGGAGAATGGTCTAAATATAACTTTTATTAGTCGACAATTAATTTTTAGGATATTGAAATTTGAATATTTAGAAATGGTCAAGTACAGAGTAGTATTTACCGATAGTATAGTTTTATTATAACGCATAAATAAGAGTTTTATGTTGCGAATTAAAATTTACATACATTCACAAAGTATTATCTCGTATGTGTTTTACTCCTTTTACAATTTAGTTTCCTATAATATCACATATTTTTTTTTTAAATTTTGATGCTTTACGTGCAATAGGGTATGATTCAAATTGGCTACTTCAAACACACGTATAAATGTAGAACTAATTCAACTTAACTTTTGAAAATTTTCTAGAAATACTGACACTTATATACATCTTAAAATAAAACTAATTAAAAGAAAAAGTACGATTTTTATGTAAAAATTGGAAAATTAATAATTTTTTATCAATTAATTGTACAAAAACTTATTTGAAAGCGTTTTTAAAGAATATGTATGAATTGCATTGCCGTATTAAGATTGGAGTGATAAGGGACTATTGATTATTCAAAAATATTTATTTTGACTTTAAACTTATATAACAGGGCGTTCATCGTTTACGCCAAAAATGACCGTATCGTTTCCGCCAAATCTGATTAAGGTACGATTTTCGTTTCCGTCAATCTAATAGTTTATACCTGTCTATAAAAAGAAGTTTGAGAACCACTGGTTAAAATATATGCCAAAATAATCCGACAATAATTACCTAATATTCATTTAATCGAACTTTTTACTATTTTTTTGTTGTTATTAGATAGCAGTGCATTGATAATTGTGAATCATTTCATTCACATTTTAATGAACAATTTTTTAAGGCGCATCCTTCTATTAATATATATTTTTTTAATTTTAATAAAAAATATTTAGTCTTATAATTACATTAAAATACATAGTTTTGATAATGCAGTCTCAAAAAGCGTACGGAATAAAATTGAAATCCGTTTCAGAAAAACAAAAGAGACAAGTGATAAATTTAATAACAATGAAATTAGCCGATTTGAATTTGTAAAATTAGTTTTTAACAACTATCGAAAAATGTATAGATCATAGATCTATTTTTTATTATATTATTAAAGATATTAGATATTTTTTAAGCTTATTGTTAATGTTTGAATTCGATTTCAATGTTTTGATGACTTTTTATTTTCTTATAAACTACATTTTTATTATTCATTACAAATATATATATATATATATATACATACTCAAGATAGTTATTTATTAGAATTTATTGACCTTAGGTAAAACGTCATATTTTCTTTATAAAGTCATGCCTATGTGATAAAATAAGTAATTATTCTAAACGACTTGACCGTATTTAGAGGTGGTTAAGGGGGTCAAAAATTCTTGGGGGCAAATGTCATTTGATAGTGATAGGACAAAAAATTACTTTATTTAGCTCATTAATATTAATACCCCACGCAAAAATCTTAAACGCAGGCCTCTAAGTAACATTGAATAAAAGCCAAACAATTTGGTACTGGCAGCTACCTAACCTGGACGTATGTTAAAACCGATACTGGATCGTCATGGTGAACCATGGATAAAACTAATTGGTTCTCAAATTTTTTAGTAGATAGACAGGTAGATGATTAGTTTTGCGGAGACGAAAACCGACCTTATTCAGGTTTAGTGGAAACGATACGGTCAATTTTGGCGGAAACGATAATCTCCCATATAACATTATTAGATATTTAAAAAAAAAAATTTATTTTGTATGTTTTCCAAATTTATGAAAAAAAAGTAGGTGCCCACAACTCTCTTAAACCAAAATTCAATATGAAATTGTCTTTATGTACATTTTTGTTTCATTTTAATATTACACCATTAAAAAGTGTATAACTAGACAATTTTTTTATTTTAAAAAACATTACAAGAGTTAACCATAGTAATGAGGCCATCAATTTTCATAAAAATTACATAAATTTTACTTATACTGAAAATAAAGTTAAACGTAATTTAAGTTTTTTGTTTCTTTTAAGACAAAATTAACGACTTTGAAATTATGAACTAACTTAATATGTCCATTTTATCTATTGACAAGTGCAATGTATGATTACGTTGCTAACAATATATTTAGCGTTAGGGGCACGAGGTTCGAACCTCGCCAGTTGCATTAACTATTTTGCACTTTATCTTATTTCTAATGAGTATAGAAAAACAATTAAAAATCGTACGATTTTTATTTCATTTAGATCGAATTCGTATAACTTATTAACATTTAATAACAAAATAACTGTTTTTTAATTTAAAATATAGCCCGTATTTACACTTTTCCTATAAAAATTATTAATGGATCGATAACAAATATAGGATAAATACTTATTGAGTAACAAAATTTTATATGTAGAACGGAAATGTAACGCGGTCGGTACAGTTCGTATTAGTGTACATTTATAATGCATATACTGCTAGCATTGCATACTCAAACTATATATATATTAAAATGCCTGTAACATAATAATTATAATTAAATATTTTTAGTTCGCTTAAAAGAACCCACTCTATTAATACATGTGGACTATTAAAACTATGTAATATGATATAAGGTTAATAATTATTACAATACTTGTTTAATCTAAAAGTGAAAAATGAATTACACTTTTTATTGGAAACATTATTTTATTTGATAAGTAAAGGTATATTAACAACAAATGTATTTTAATATACCAAAAGTTCACTTTGTATAATTAATTATTCTTTGTGCTATCGAATATTGTATTTTATATTGCTAATATCAATGTAATATTATTCATCAAATAAATTATAAGTATTTAATGTTTCTAAGTATTCAATAAATAATCGAATAATATTAAAATTGACGCGCTTAAATAAGTAACAGAGATATCTTCCGAAATCTTGTTTGACATCATCTAATACACTAATAGAGTTATTAATATAGTTTGGGTCTGTGTTTTTATCACTTTCAGTTGTTTCATCAATAGATCTATTATACAAAATACGATCTGAGTAAAAAGTAACTTGATTGGATGTCTGTAAAACTTCTTCTGTATTCCAATTTTCAACTATCGTACAACCTAACCCTTCACAAAGAATTGATATTATATAGCTAATATAATCTACCAATTTGTCTGTATAGTCCTGTTGGTAGGTTGATAACTTATTGAGATCTACAGTTCCATTGTTATTTAATGGATAACTCTTAATGTGCAGTGAAATACTTTCTATTATGCTTTTAATTGCAACATCTTTTTCTAATGCCAGAAAACTTGCGAAATTTTTAAGTGACAATAACCATTGCTTTGTAAGATTTTCAATCAATGATGCATTTTGATGTTGAATGTATAAAAATTGTTTCCAAGTCAATCTTAACATAATTACTTTGAATAAGTTGAAAGAAGTTGAATAGAGCAGCAAGCAAGAACGAAAATTTTTGATTGGCCAATCAAACTTATTGGCATTATTATAAATGTCTGCCAACT